AAAACTCCCAAACTCATAGAAAAAGAGATCAGATTTGTGGTTACCAGAGGCAGAGGGTGGGGAGAGGGGAAACTGGATGAAGACGGTCAAAAGGCACAAATTTCCAGTTATGAGATAAGTATTAACTCAGTACTGTAACAACATGATGACCATAGTTGACACTGCTAATGGTATGTGGGAAATTAGTTAAGAGAGTAAATCCTAAGAGAATAAGCATTTTTCTCTTCTCTGTTTCCTTCTTTCCTTTTTATTATATCTGTATGAGAAGATGGATGTCAGCTGAACCTACTGTAATTATTTCACATTGTATGTAAATAAAACCATCATTTTGTATGCTTTAAACTTAATGATGTATGTTAATGATTTCTCAAAACTAGAGAACAAGTGAGAATTATGCACAATAATTCCTTCAAATAGATAAAAAGTAAACTGAAAATTATAGAAATCCAGACTGTCTGAAACAGCATAAACCTGTTAATAGCAGAGCTATGTCGCTTTAGCTAGGATGCTCTCTTGCAATAGAACTTTATGCCAAGTCATTTAACTTCTCTGCGATTCATTTTCACTGTTTCCTCTGCCTAAAATTTTCTATCCCTAGGTCTTCATCTAGTTGGCTATTTCTCATCTTTCCAACTTCAACTCAGATATCACATCCTTAAAGCTATCTGCTTAGATGACCCACTTTAAGTATCCAACCCTCCATCTTCATCATAATGTCCTACTTTTTCTTCACAGCACTTTACACTGCCTGAAATTACTTCATTTCATGAATTTGTTTACTTGGGCTTCGTCTATCTCTCCGGAGACCAAGAACCTTACCTGTTTTGATCACTGCTTTATTCTCACTGCCAGAATAGTACCCGGCATAAAGTAGATACTAAATAAATGTTAGTTGAATGAATGAATGGCTGAATCAATCCCCATTTAAATCAGCTCTTCTGTGAAGACAAACTTCTATAATGCATATAGATGTGGACTGAATCTTTAAAAGTACTCTGTATATAGAAACTGCAACAATAGTGATCTCTTTTGATTGCTCTTTCCCTAACAATAACTCAGGCACATTCTTCAGTCCTACCTTCTTTAATCTAAGACAAGAAAAACTTACAAGTTGTATGAGTAGGATATCCTTAATTACACCCCTTTAAATGTGGATGTCCTGTGATCTGATGATGCACTTATGAAGATTAATGAGGTTTTGTTGTTTTGTTTAACGGTAAAGGTGTTTTCTGCAGTGTTCAAGCAAAACCTAAGATAAAATCTCAAGCCCATAGTACTAACAGAGGCTAAAGTGGAAAAAAGGAATGCTGAAGAAACTTGTAGAAATTTCAAGTGGTTTTTTTTTTCCCTCCACATACATGGTTTCGGGCTTGGTTTACAGTGCAGAAAAGATTTATCAGAAATCCTTAGTGGAGAGAAAAGATCGTATGTGTTCCACTGTAAATACACTCGTTTTTAATGTGGAGATCAAACTTAGTGCTAACAACTGCAGGAGACAAGATAGCCAGGAGTGAAATACCATGCACGTAGCTACTGTTTGGCAATTGGGTAGATTTTCCTCTAAAAACCCAATTCAGCACAGTACAGAACACGCTGCAGAAAAAAACCCAACTTGCACTGTTTCTCCACTCATTAAGGCACATCGTGCTGAGCCCCACACAGCTGGCGCCCCACGCTGAAGACCATCACCTTGTACTCTCAGCACATCTCTCAGATGCTGCCCTCATAATGAAACCCTTTCACAGGAAGGAAGGGAGACAAAAGCCCAGGAAAGAAAGAGATGTCAAAATACTTTGATTTAAAGCTGGAGAAAAAAAAATTAGACATGACCTGAGTTTGAGCTATTCCTTTAAAAATAATGATGTAAATTTATGACACCAAAGAAAGAACTTCAAAACCATTTTTAAAAGAAGTATTTGTATCCTTTAAATGAATGCAAACTTATTTACAACCGAATCCTTATGTTTTAACAAAGTTTGGCTTTCAAATAGGGTCCCATATTTCCAAGCTTTCCACCACTGGAAAACTTATTTTCATAGCCACTTTTTTTCTTGTGAATCTTTTCAGTCTCAGTTTACTTAGCAATTAATGCAATTAGAAAGGAGGAAAGTTGATTTACAGCAAACTTGTAGTTTATGTTATCCGCCCCAGGAAGTGGTCAATTTAAATTTAACGACATGGTGGCAGACGGACTGGAATTCTCCAAAGTTGCTTCCCCTAGACTTGATTCTTTTCTGTACGGCATCTCCTTTTCAGATACCTTACCCATCCTCCGCACTTGAGGTTTCACCTCTGTGTGTTTGGCTCTTAAGACCTTAATCTATTGTGGCCTCACTTCTTGCAAATTAATCTGACTGGGTATTTCTACCTAAATGTCCTATTTTGTGTGTGTGTGTGTGTGTGTGTGTGTGTGTGTGTGTGTGTGTGTGTGTGTGTGTATTTGGCGGGTTAGTAATTAGGTTTATTTATTTATTTTTTATTTTTAACAGAGGTACTGGGGATTGAACCCAGGACCTTGGGCATGCTGATCACATACTCTACCACTGAGCTATACCCAACCCCAATTTGAAATTAATACATTTAATAAAGCAGTTCACCTCTTCATCTCACCTCCCAAATTATCTCTCACTGTCTCTCCCTTTTCTGTTAATTATAGTTGTCTCCAAACTTCAGCTCAAATCCTCGGACTCCTATTTGAGACCACCCTGTCCTTTGCCCATCACACCCATTCAACGGTCCTGTTAATTTCACTTCAAGTCTTTCAAATCTGCCATTTTCTTTTCAGTCACTTCGTCCAGGCCCATCTCTTGCTACACCTGACCCCAGTGGGCTCAGGTCTACAGCCTGACCTTTAATGTTGTTACTGGAGCTGGCTTTGGTGGCTCTGACTTTGCCTCTTCTGTTTGAATCCCTTTCGTATCCTTGCTGTCCATTTTTCTCTCTAAAGGATTTTTTTTGATTATGTCACTTATCTCTTGAAAAATAGTAAATGCCTCTTGTTGTTTCCAAGATCAAGTCCAAATTCCTCAGTCTATTATTGAAGGCCATCCATGACATGACCATATCCATCCATACAACCTTATTTGTCACTACGTCCCTAAATGAAAGACTCTACCCAGGCCAGGCCACTTAACCTTTCCTCATGCCATCACCTTCCTGCACGCCCTCTCCAGCTGCTCGGTTTCCTAAAATTTTACTTCTCCACAGCAAATATTTACTCATTAGTTTGTTAAACAACTAGTATTCATTCCAATTCTAATGCCAATACAATTTCCTTCAGTGAATTATCTCACCTCCTTTCAGTACAGTGCTCTGGGACTATTAATCAAGGTCTTCTCTCCTTCCATGTCCAAGAGACCAACGTGTAACCATAACAAGACCAACCAGACTCTCCCTCCTGGAAAGTGAAATCTTGAGCAGAATGTCCACAGAATAGAAATTGCTGGAACTCATCTGTTCCAGTGGAGACAACCTGAGGGACTAATGAGTATTTCTCGCTTACCTTCGTCCCTAGAGTTATCTTGTCTCTTGATCTTCCTGAGTCTGGATCTCTGGACTGTTGATTCTGTGAACCCATTTTCTTTAAACGATTTCTTTTTTTACTAAAGAAATAATTTCTGTTGTTTGCACTCAAAATCCAATTGTCATCATTTTCAAAGGCCCACTTAAGCCCTTCCTGCCATACAAGGTCCTTCCCAAGCACTCAGCCTTGCAGTGATCACCCCCTCAGGTTAGCATCTGCAGATTCCGGCATGTGCTCCATCCCTCTGGTGCATCTCAATCACTCACCAAGTGGTCACTGAGCTTGAACAATGAGCCTGGCTCTGTGCTACTGCATATTTTTTAAAAATTTGCTAACTCATTTTTGTGAATATAGAATATTTTTAGAAATAAATTCTGGGTTGTTCAAAGTCAGTAACTCTGTCTCAAATATAAATGTTCTTTCCTTACTGCCTGGCATGCACAGAAAACATATATTCTTACTGAATGACAAAGCAGCCTCTTTATGAAAGCTGTTTAAGAGGAAAATAACTATAATATCAGGACTGCTTGGTACTAATTAAATTATTCAACAAAAACACAATAGCTGAGAATGCAGGATATAGCTCTGAAGAACTCTTCATTGTCTCCTAACTTGCTTGATTAACCTGGTAGCTTCAATGCCAGAAACCATCAGTTAAGGTGCTAACTTCTAAGTGAAGGAAGCCAGAAAGAGAAAGAAAAATATCACATAATATCACTTATTTGTGGAATCTAAAAAAAGGACACAAATGAACTTATCTACAAAACAGAAACAGACTCACGGACATAGAAAACAAACTTCTGGTTACCAGCGGGTAAAGGGGGTGGGAAGGGATAAATTGGAAATTTGAAATGTGCACCTCTTGGGAAGTGATGGAGATATTAGCTATCTTGATGGTGGTGGTGGTTTCATGGGTGTAGACATCTATCAAAATTCATCAAATTGTACATCTGGAATATGTGTAGTTTACTGTCCAGGAATCATATCACAATAAACGTGTTAAAAATAAATTAAATTAAATTAAATTATTTTAAAAAGATGCTAACTTTTAGAAGTTGAGTGTGCAACTTCATCTTTTAATGTACCACACAACCATATCCCTGAATCATTTTGAAATATTTCCAAGACATCAACCAGGTCATCCTTAAGAGCTGCCATTTGCATCATTCAAGCACACTGCTACCTTAAATGAGTGATAACCTTAGAGTCACGAATGCAGTACAATTATTTAACTTTAAACTCTACATCCAACTGTAATTATAACTGGGGGTGGCTGTGGGGAGAAGGAGAGTTAACAGGAGCTTCTACATTTGCTTTAACAAAAATCCGAAATGACTACCAAGCAGTCATTTGTACCTCACTGGGATCCTGGCTATTATTCTATCCGTTGGTCAGCCATGGATGTTGAGGCAATAAAAATAATGAGTCATAATCTATTGAAAAGTGAGAGAGAGAAGAAGGAAAAGGAAGCACTCACCTTCTTTTCCAGTCTGTCAATTAATTTCTGGAGTCTATTTATCTGGGTCATCCACTGGTTATCTTCTTCCAGTAAGCCTTGAGGGGAAAATCATGAGGCAATATGTTAAACCCTGGACAGAGCAGAATGTTCTGATATCTCAGAGCTTTCCTGTTAACCTGGAGGAAGAACACAGTGTCACTGACATCAACACGTCTAATATATATATGCGTGTATATATATTATTTCCCACCGCCCCACATGAGTTCTTTCTAAGTTACTGATTTCCATAGATCCAGGCATCCCAGTGTGTTCATCTTCATAAGTCTGGTTTTTCCTAAAGTTATTGTTGTTACCTGTGTTGGCCTCTGATAGTCAAAGGAACAGATCCTGCTGGGCCATTTTTACCACCCCATGATGTGGCTGATTTTTCTTTTGGAAAAAGGGAAGTACTAATCAACAGTTCTAAACTTAACTTCTGGGGCAGTAGCAGGAGCCAGGGAAATCAGAGTCCGGACCACAGCAAGGGATAAACTGTTAATCAAACAGAAATGTAAGGGCAAGGTAGCCGGTACCTCCTTCCCTAGGGGTTAACCCAAGTGGGCCCTCCGGCCGTGGCACAGCAGTTCAGAGTATAGACGGGAGTCTGCTGATGTTGGCCAAATTGTCTGACTCCTTTGACTTCACTTTTCATATTTTTAGAATGGGAATAATAATACCACCAGACTCCCCGAGTCATTGTGAGGATTATATATACACGTATACACACAGCTACGTGTACTATGTCTGTGTCTACACACACGTATCTGTATCCGGCACCAGGCTGAACATTATGTAAGTCCTGCTTACATTATGGAATACTGCTGCTGCTGTTATAAACGTTATTATGCAAAGGGGAAGAAGAGAGCTGTGGCCTGAGCCCCCGCACAAGCACCTGGCGTCCTTGTGTGTCCCCCTGCAGCTTGCTCAAATGCATTTTCACGAACATCTGCTGAAGTAACATTATTTGATATTTCTTGATAGGAGAATGTGATTGAATTCAAGACTATAAAGCCTGTGTTAGCGCTGAACGTTAGGAAGATAAGACCTCAGTTATAATAAAGGGGTATTACTTTACATTAACATTCACTTCTCTTACCTGCTGTCTTGGGTGAAGCTCCTCTCAAAGCTTCAAAATAAATCATGATGCAAAAAGCAGCAGCAGTATTGCCACAAAAGAAGCGGCTACATAAATAAGGGTGCTTTTACAATAGGAAATATTATAAATATGTGAACGAAGTTTGTTTATATTTTAATCTGCAAGTCAGTTAACAGCTTTCCACTCTAGGTTGTTTCTGGGAGAATTCAAGGGGGCTGTCATGCCAAAGTCCCACAGGAAGGTATTTTGGGCTTAATACTTTTCCAAATGGCTACAATGGAAGGAACAACCTGTTTTGACACAGGAGCCTTGTATTGCCACTTTCTAGTCACAAAGGATAGACTTGTTACTGTTGTAATGTCTTCACTTTCTTCCTGTTACAGAATTACACGTATGTACCCTTTGCCCCGTGACTTTGTGGTACCTCTTACCCCAATGGGTGGAATGCATCCCCTTCCCCACTGTTCCTGAATTTAGCACGTGACAGTTTGGCCAATGGAGACTTACAAGACAAGATGCAAACTGTGTTTTTGTCCTTCCTGTTTTATTGAAATATAATTGACAGACAGCACTGTGTAAGTTGAAGATATACAGCATAATGATCTGATTTACATACATTATGAAATGATTAGCAAAATAAAGTTTAGTAAACAGTATCAGCTCATACAGATACAAAATTAAATAGAAAATTTTTCCATGTAAAGGCAACTCACGATTTATTCTCTTAACAAATTTAATGTAATAAGATATAGCAGTGTTAATTACATTTATCATGTTGTACATTACATCCTTAGTGCTTATTTACCCTATGAGGAGTTTGTACCTTTTTAAAAACAGAATTATTATTGATCTACAATATTACATTGGTTTCATGTGTACAACATGAGTCAATGTTTTATAGACTATAATCCATTTAAAGTTATTATAAAATATTGGTTATATTCCCTCTGCCATACAATATATCCCTGTAGCTTATATGTTTTATACCTAGCAGTCTGTATCTCTTAAACCCCAACTCTTGTCTTGCCCTTCCCCTCCTCACTCTCCTCAGTGGTAACCACTTTGTTCTCTGTATCTGTAAGTCTGTTTCAGTTTTGTTATATTTATTCATTTTATTTTTATATTCCACATATAAATTATAATATACAGTACTTATCTTTCTATGTCTGACTTATTTCACTAAGCATAATACCCTCCAGGTCCAACCATTTTGCAAATGGCAAATTTTCATTCTTTTTTATGGCTGAGTAATATTCCACTGTAAATATATACATTGCATCTTCTTTATCCATTCATCTGTTGATGGACACTTAGGTTGCTTTTGTATCTTGGCTGTTGTAAACTAATACTCCTATGAATAGTAGAGTGCATGTACCTTTTTGAATTAGTGTTTTCATTTTCTTTGGATATATACTCAGGAGTGAAATTGCTGGATCACATGGTACTCCCATTTTTAGTTTTTTGAGGAGACTCTATGCTGTTTTCCATAGTGGCTACACCAATTTACACTCCCACCAATGGTGTGCTAGGGTTCCTTTTTTCTCCATATCCTCACCACCATTTATTATTTGTGGTGTTTTGAGGATAACTATTCTGAAAGGTGTGAAGTGACATCTCATTGTAGTTTTGATTTACATTTCCCTGATGATTAGTGATGCTGAACATCTTTTCACGTGCCTGTTGACCATCTGTAGGTCTTCTTTGGAAAAATGTTTATTCAGGACTTCTGCCTATTTTTCAATCTGGTTGTTGTTTTCTGATGTTGAGTTGTATGTGCTCTTTGTATATTTAGCATATTAAGCAGTTTATCAGATACATCATTGGCAAATATTTTCTCCCATTCAGTCGATGAACTTTTCATTTTGTTGATAGCTTTCTTCACAGTGCAAAAGATTTTTAGTTTGATGTAGTCCCATTTGTTTATATCTCCTTTTCCCCCTCCCTGAGGAGAGATATCCAAAAATATATATTACCAAGACTGACGTCAAAGAACACACTGCCTATGCTTTCTTCTAGAAGTTTTATAGTTTCAAGTCTTACATTTAAGTCATTAACCCACTTTAAATGAGTTGTTGTGCATGGTGTGAGAGAGTAGTCCAGCTGGATACTTTTGCATGTAACTGTTCAGTTTTCCCTACACCATTTATTGAATAAGCTGTCTTTCCCACGCTGAATATTCTTGCCTATTTTGTCATAGACAAGCCTATTTGCTCAAAGACGTGTGGGTTCATTTCTGGGCTCTCTTTTCTGTTCCACTGATCTATGGGTGTGGTGCTGCTTTCATCACTGCCGCTTTGTAGTAACTTTTAAATCAGAGAGCCAGATATCTCTAGCTTCGTTCTTCTTTCTCAAGATTGTTTTGGCTATCTGGGGTCCTTTGTGTTTCCTTGCCATTTTAGAAGTATTTGTTCTAGCTCTGTGAAAAAATGCCATTGATATTTTGAAGGGATTTCATTGAGTTTCTAGATTGCTTTGGGTAGTATGGTCATCTTGACAATATTAAGTCTTCCAATCCATGAACATCCTATAGCTTTCCATCTGTTTGTGTCATCTTCAGTTTCTTTCATCAGTTTTCCAAATGTAAGTCTTTTACACCTTTAGTTAGATTTATTCATAAGTATTGTATTCTTTTTGATGGAATTTTAATGGGGTTGTTTTCATAATTTCTCTTTCTGATACTACATTGTTAGTGCATACAAATGCAACAGATTTCTGCATATCAACTTTGCATCCTAGAAGATACAGAAGGCTGTGATGAGATCTTAAAGAGGTATTGTCAACTCTGCCTCTTGTTGGCTGCATGACCTTGCACCAAACTCTTCATATTTCAGACACAGCTTCTTTGGCTATACATTAATTAGATCAATTACTTCTGGCTCTGGCTCAGAATAACAGAATTGTACTTTTTTTTTTTTGAATTGAGGTATAGTCAGTTACAATGTGTCAATTTCTGGTGCACAGCATAATGTCCCAGTCATGCATATATATATACATATATATTTGTTTTCATATTCTTTTTCAGTAAAGGTTATTACAAGAAAAAATGTGTATCCTGGAACTTTACTGAATTCATTGATGAATTCCAGTAGCTTTTTGGTGGCATCCTTAGGATTTCCTATGTATAGTATTATGTCTTCTTCAAATAGTGATGGTTTTACTTCTTCCTTTCTAATTTGGATTCCTTTAATTCCCTTTTTTTTTTCTTTTTGACTGAATGCTGTGGCTAGGACTTCCAATACTATATTGAACAGAAGTGGTGAGGATGGGCAACCTTGTCTTGCTCCTCATCTTGGAGGAAATGTTTTCAGTTTCTCATCATTGAATATGATGTTAGCTGTGGGTTGTCACATATGGCCTTTATTTTATTAAGTAATGTCCTCTCTCTGTCCACTTTGTGCAGAGTTTTTTTTTCATAAATGGATGTTGAATTTTGTCAAAAGCCTTTTCTGCATCTATTGAAGTGATGGTATGATTTTTATTCTTCAGTTTGTTAATGTAGTGCATCACACAAACTGATTTGCAGATACAGAACCATCCTTGCATCCCTGGGATAAATCTTACTTGATCATGGTGTATTGCTAAATTTGTATGCTAACATTTTATTGAAGATATTTGCATTTCTGTTTATCAGTGATATTAACCTGAAATTTTCTTGTTTCTGTATGATTATTTTTTCAGCTTTTGGTATCAGAGTGATGCTGGCCACACAGAATAAGTTTGGAAGTGTTCCTTCCTGTGAAATATTTTAAAATAGTTTGAGAATGATAGATGTTAACTATTCTCTAAATATTTGGTAGAATTCACCTGTAAGGATAACTTGTCCTGGACTTTTGTTTGTTGGAGGGTGAAACAATGAAACACTGTTCTCAATTTCTTTTCTGGTATTTGGTTTGTTCATATTATCTGTTTCTTCCAGGTCAGTCTTGGAGGGCTGTGTATTTCTAGGACTATGTTCATTTTTCTACATTGTCCATATTGTTGGTGTAAAACTGTTCATGGTAATCTCTTATGGTCCCTAGTATTTCTCTGATGATAGTTGTAACTTCTCTTTCATTTCTGATTTTAGTGATTTGGTCTCTCTTATTTCCTTGATAAATTTGTCTGAAGGTTTTTTTTGTTTCTTTGGGGTTTTTTTTGTCTTTTATAAATATATTTTTTAACATTTTTTATTGATTTATAATCATTTTACAATGTTGTGTCAAATTCCAGTGTTCAGCACAATTTTTCAGTCATTCATGGACATATACACACTGTCACATTTTTTTCTCTGTGATTTATCATAACATTTTGTGTATATTTCCCTGTGCTATACAGTGTAATCTTGTTTATCTATTCTACAATTTTGAAATTCCAGTCTATCCCTTCCCACCCTCTACCCTCCTGGTAACCACAAGTCTGTATTCTCTGTCCAT